CCATTGGCGTTTTCGCTATATAAAGTAGATAATTTAGATTAGTTTCCTGACCCCATCCGTATAGCAAGCCGATAATAAAATCCCCCACCCTCCCATCACATCATCTTTATCACTGATACAGGTCCAGCACTCTAGCGTGTCGCTAAAACAATCAACCACCATAGAAATGTGAGTCAATGGAAGCAAAATCACGAATGTGGCCGCAGAAGCATGGCTTATTGAGCTAGCAGGCATAAATATACGCAATGACAGGGTCGTTAGTTGCAAACCATCGTTAACTATACCACGAATCTCGCTGTATCCTCTGGTCTGTCACTGTTGCGGTGGTAGGAATCATGGTGGGAAATTGCTTTGCATTTAGTCAATCAAAAAAATCCCACATAAATATGTTCAAACGTGTATCAGGTCCCTTGTTTGGTATGGACAAACCAGTTGTTAATGACGAACCTGTGCGACTATCGGTTTAATTCTTATGATGCGCGCATGTAGGACGATCGTCGCCGAACAGAGTTGCAAGTTCAGGACTAAATCAGATATTTTCTGCCCGCTGATGCCTTCATGGAAATCGAAGAGACACTAAAAAAATGATATTCTATACGCGGCTGAGGAACACGCTCAATTTGTCAACAACGGAATAACGGTTCTTCTTTTATAATGCCCGAAACATCATCGTCGGCAAGGAAATCGAAGCGTTGACGTTGTAGAGACAATACTTGTAATAGCACGATACTCCGATGATTATTCTCGCCGCGCTGGCACTTCAATGATGCTTTCCAATGATATTACTGGTAACTCAGACGGTATACCATTTAAAATGGTGGTAATACGGTAATATTCATTACAGCTTCAGTCGCATAAACTGCTACTAAGATAGCATGAACAAGAAACAAACCAGCTGCCCCCTTTACTCACGTTCCTATAAAAATTGAAGCTTGGGATTGGCCGCACGTCAGGCACAAATTAACAGCTGAGGTCAGTTTAATTGTTTAATTTCACTGTCACAAATATTTGGGTTTTGCAAAACTGTCAGAAATGTTATATTTGGAGCCAAGCACACTGTTCTTCTGACACGAGGCAGAACTGACGTCGAAGTAATATGGCACGTTATGGGTAGAAGCAATTGCAACTGAACATGCAGCGCTGAACTGACAAGTTACTCCGTCAAAGATGTCGCTTTGCATTTCCACGTTGAAACAGTCGCTGGCAGAAGAAAAGTTACTATTGAGTTTTATGCCGGGCGATGGTGATTTACGTTGACATGGCCGGCTAAGACGACTGACGCAGATAAAGATTCAGTTTATGTAGGGTTTTTTATTTGGCAGATCGTACACCATCAAGATATTCTTGTGCATTTATATTGATCTTTTAAACTAGCCAGCAAAAAACCCCACGGTAATTAACTGTGTTTCATAAATTTTGTGTCTATGCAGTATCGCTATGGCTTGATAGTTATCAAGACGCATTCGACGAAATACAGATGCTTTATTATTAGAATCGTGTTGCCCTAGCGTATCATGCGTCGCTGACGTTTCTGTCGTTTATGGGGCGTGATCAGAACCTTGAAACAGGACTCGGATATCTCGAAAAGATTTCTCAACGCTGTATCCAATATTCTGCTTCTCAGTGGAACATTTGCAGTTATTCAAATAATCCGTCGTAGACATGCATTTCCGGGCCCGTGTGGCTAAAACGGGCAATGGTGTTGATGACTTGACGTCATTTTATCGGACAAAAGACTGTTTAGTAAGGATGTTGGTGAACGAATTTCAGTCGTCGATGCACCTTTTTGAAAATATTAAACGTACGTAATTGTATGCAAAACAAAAAGAAAGATATACACACTAGTCAGTGTTATTCTGACAAAAGATAAAATAACAAAACTGCGAACAGCTGCCAAAAAAAACTTTGGAGTAGCACTACGATTAAAAGCATCCCAGCTGGACGGTGGTCCTAAAGGATCGCATTAACTCAGCTAAGCTTTGCTGGGGAAATAAATTGTATGGACATAACATTGTCTGCACCGCACTCTTGTAAGAAAGAACTCAGACAGATGCGGATAAGATGCTAGATATTCCGAATAAAAAAACGTAATTAAATGTCACGTTAAGTCTCATTCGGTGTTACAACCCAAGATCAAAATTACCAGAGGTTTTACTGAGCAGAAGATGTTTTGTGGCTGTAAAACGTGGTCATAAACGGATTAAAAATTGTTTTAGGAGCCGCTGTAGATGGAGCTACTATTTGTGGTCATGTGAAAATAGAGGGACAAATTTTAATGACCATCATTTTAGGAGCCTCTAGTTGTAGTTCATAAAAATACAGGAAAGATTTGAATCACCTTCAGGTACATGTGGTTTTCAATATTGATCTATAAATGCCATTAAGTTTATCCATCTCCTGTACACTTAGATCTATTACATGCCAATAAGATTGTACAAATCGGGTGAATGATAATCTGTAGAATGCCACTAAGATTTTACAAACTCCAGTACATGCTAATCTGTCCATTGACAGTAAGATTTTCTTAACTCCGGCGGCACACTTTGACCTGTAAAATACCAGTATGATTTTACAAACTCCAGTACACTTCTATCTGTCCACTGCCAATTTTATTTTCTTCACTCCAATCCACTCCGATCTGTCTATTGTCAATGCGATTTTTTTAAAAGTCCGTCTCACCTTAATCTGTAAAATGACAATAAGATCTTACAAACTCCGGTATACTTTGAAATGTCAAACCCGAAATTTTGTTAAGTCCGGTGTCCCTTTTTGTTTTATTAAAATGCTAATACAATTTTTGAAAACGTTGTTGGATGCTGATTTGTAAAATGCCAAAAAGATTGTATTACCTCCTGTGTACATTAACCTGTAAAATGCCAATATAATTTTACAAACTCCAGTACACTTTGATCTAAAATTCTGAATAAGAATTTACTGAATCCTGTGCATTTTGCTCTGTAAAAGGACAATGAGACCAGTCCGCAATACATACTGCCTATAATAATTAATTTTGCCGAACATTCATATTTCGTTGGTGATCATCGAACCATGAGTTTCGAAATCTTCCATGACTTATATGTAAAGTGGTTTGTTTCTGCTATGCAGATTCTTTTCATTTAATATTTGTTCGATTTTTCGGTTAACCGGTCCGTAATAGTGATTGTCACTCTTCGGAATATGGCGACCATTATTTATTACATATTTTCATACTGAAGTTAAATTTTTAACCATATCCTATTTTCTCTATTGCTTTTAGTTTGATTGGGTGCTTGCTTTCTTGTTTCTGTGGTCATCATTATCATTTTTGTTTTTCTCGTTGTTCTCTTTTTTATATTTTGATAATTTGCTGCATTCGATGAGTCTTTACATATTGAAATGTGTCATCTTTATTTTCTATTTGATATACGTTTAAAGAATTTTATCATCTTTAATTTTTAATTTATGACGTGATTGTGTTTACATTGATTTAGAAGAGTATATCTTCCAGAAGATTTTGTGCAATTCTTCATTTTTATATTTTTCGACCATTACTTTAATTCGCCTCCATAACCAACTATTGTGATGACGTGGCGATAAAAGATGAAGCGCACATACTTTTTGTTTTTCATTGCAAATTCATCAATACGTTCTTTTGTGTATGGTAGTAACGGATGGGTGTCCAGTAACCAGCAAGTTTTAATAAACTTCAGCAGATTTAAAGAAATGCACTTGAAATCAAATCGAGATGCAGTTTAGAAATATCTAAGTGTTTCTGGGTCTGTACATACCTAATTGCCTGCCTGTATGCGCGTACATGCACACATACATACATACATACATACATACATACATACATACATACATACATACATACATACATACATACATACATACATACATACATACATACATACATACATACATACATACATACATACATACATACATATTTTTGAATTTTTTGCACACTTAGATGAAAAGAATACCTAACTTTTAGGTCATTATTATTAATAGCATCTGTATCAGCAATTCAGAAGCTTTGTTAATACTTGTAAGTATATAAACCAATGAAGTAAATTCTAGTTGCCCAACGTGACACCTTTTATTAAATTAATAAAGAAAATGAAGAGGTAGATAAGATTTGCTCATTTTAGTTTCACCAGTTTAAAATTATGGATTAACACCCGTGCTTCATGTTGTATGCCAGATGCCTTGATAATACTGACGTGATTGTTATGAAACAAAATGAAATTCCGGTTGACATAAATGCTTCAAGGAAGCGTGTTCACGTGAATAAAAATAAATACACAAAAGGTCTGCTTTTCACCTTTTAATATCAATATTTGTGGCTAATTTCTTTTTATTAATGAATGCTCCCTGCTTCTTCTTTCGGCCCACGTTCAGATGATTGCAAAGATGCAGCACTAAGGGAGGAACCAAGTGCCATGATAGTTTACTTCAACATTCGTTACAGCTTAGGTTTTTCTTTCAAATTAGTTATAGGTTGTAGGGCCTTACAATGATTCTACAGCAACAAAGGCGGTTGGTAAGAGATGACTACAATCTACAATGAGAAAATTAGTATGCAAAATAATTACTACAGAAAGTAATAACGTGAATTTTATAGAGCATTTAATAATATCAATATTAACATTAGAAAATTAACTGGAAAATAAAAAAGTACTCGTATTATTTTGTAGCGGTTGGAATATAGAGAAAAAGTTAGCTAAAACGTTCTACAAAAAGGTTGTTTCGTGATCTTTATTTGCCGAGAGAATTTTAAAAGATTAGTTAAATAGAGTATCGTAATTGCCTTATTTAGAGCTAAATTGTTTGTCAAGGTAAAAAAAAGTAAATATGGTTCGGAATATGTCAGAATAAAATAAAGAAAATAAATAATTATTTGTTTTCTTCATCACTGGGAACAATATTAAGAAGCAAATGTAAAAAAAAATAACAGCAGTATTGGTAGTACCAACGTATGGACCAAACTCTCCTTCACAGGTTTCTCAATTATAGTAGACCGCTCTGGTTGCCTAGTGGTTAGAGCGTCCGCCTCGGAAGCGGGAGGTCGTGGATTCCATTCCCGGTCGAGTCATACCAATGACTTACAAAAATGGTACTAACAGCTGCCTCGCTTGATGCTCAGCATTAAGAGGTTAGTGTTAGGACTAGTCGGCCTGGTGTTAGGATAATGTGACTGCATGTCTGACGCATGATACCCCAGTGCTAGACATCACTATGAACTGCTACACTGCAGACATCGTAGTACAAATGAAACATTTTCAAAGTAAGATTAAAAAAAAAAACAAGAAAATCTGGGATTCCATAATTTCCCTTGAGAATCTGACGAGCACTTGAGTATGTTGATTATCGGAATTTGTTATCAGTTTATTTGACTTGATGGTTTAAGTTTCAATGCCAGTTTTTGTTCACTTTATAAATTACTGGTAAGTTGTAACTGCAGAGTCAAGTTTTTGTTATATGACAAATATTTGATTTGATTGTTTTGTCTTGTTGTCCTCTCTTATTGAAGAGTGAATGTGTCCACTAAAGTGTAAATTGAACAGCTATAAACAGATGCATATGCAGTTGATCCCGTTGGTCAGATGACATAATTGAAGCGGAGCTATTTTCCTTTATGTTGAAGTGGTGTGTAATAATGTTAAAGTTTGTGTGTGTTATTTGATTTAAGTTTGTTTTGTTCTTCTCATTTAAGCATTAATAAGTGTAATAACATTTCTTTTGCTAAGGTATTCTTTCATGAATTGTCATTACACGGACCTTGTCTCCTCTCAAAGAGAACATTTGGTTAAAGTACATGTAACAAATATAGCCGCCTACATTTATTTTTGGATGATGTAACTAATGCCTGGCGATTTCCTGGCGGCTGACGTGACTGACAGAAAGCATTATCTAAGTGTTCATCACGTGCAGATAATCCTAAACGAACCAAGTTTTTCAGGTTGATTTCATGCAGTGGTAATTATCTCTGCTAGCTGGCTGTGATACCATACACACTTTTCAACCGGTGTCAGTGGAGTTTTCAGTTGAGATGTAAAACGGCTCTTATAGGGCCTGCTTGTGCACCATATAGACGGTGACCCACTTTAGGAGGCGAAAACTTCATCAACATGCTTCACAACTTATGTTTTAGTCTTTGCCATTTTACGTCGAATGAAAGCATATGAGTTTTTTTTTTCTTTTTAGTTCAATGACTTAAATGATGGCATAGAGCTAGTTCAAACAGTTACACGTGACCAGTAGTGCGATAGGCTAATGTTAGAGTTCTCGCAAGTTGCCTACCTTACATATGTTGAAAGTTATAATGATTTACGATTAGTTATCTCCTGAATTATGTAATGCATATCCTTTAGAATACCTCATCAAAGACATGATAGAATGGACTTTATAAAATTTTCTAACGCAACTTAAATTGACATCACGTGATCTCTTGAATATACATGATAGTACATACACCTGTTTATCTTGCCAAAATAGACAGGTACAACAATTTAATTCTACACCGGTATGCGTTGGACATTCTTAGCCTACTGTAACTGCTGTAAGAAATTTCACGCATTTTTTGCCTAAACTTCCCATTAGACAGAAATTTAGTTGTGTACCAGTATGTCAATATCTAACTTAGAACGATCATGTGTCCTTTTTAAATGTATGATGGGTATATTGACATCAATATGTCTGGAATACCTTCGTTAAAAAATAGACTCTACGCCTTTACCTGACGAATAGACTCATATTGCACACGTGACATAAATCAAAAGTATGTTGCATTGAAGTCTCCAGTATTCAAGGATGTTGTTACAAACGTAGTAAAAGAACATACTGAAATTGACCTCCTTTACAAAAAAAGAAAAAATAATGCTCAGACTATTTGGGTTTTTTTTAGTCCAAGTGATCAACACGATATTTAAATAAGGTAAGTTTTGGGGACGATTAGACATTACAAAGCTTTGGCAATGCAATTGTTATATAGTGAAAACAACATAGCAGTCCAAATCGCTTTTGTCAAAGCACTTAAAAAATAATTACCCCATTAAACTTACGTAATGATTGCTACCAGCTGACAATTCTATGAAACAGTCACAATATTTTTTATTATGAGATAGTTGATTGATAGATGGGGAGAGTCAAGGGTGTATTTATTTGCATGTGAACGTGCCGAATGAATCTGAAAAAATGTGAGTTATATCACCATATTAGAACGTGTTACATCCTGTTGAACAAATCGTAATGTAAAGAATATTTGCGAGCATTTATTTTGTATGTTTAAAAAAAGTGTATTATTATTATTATCATTATTATTATTATTATTATTATTATTATTATTATTATTATTATTATTATTATTATTATTATTATTATTATTATTATTATTTGTAGTAGTACTAGTAGTAGTAGTAGAAGTAGTAGTAGTAGCAACAGTAGCAGTAGTACTCGTAGTGGTAGTAGTAGTAGCAGTGGTAGTAGTAGCAGTAGTGGTAGTAGTAGTAGTATTGGTTGTAGTAGTTGTTTTGGGGCTTAACGCCATTTTTCAGCACACGATAGGCTATACATGGCGGCCAGTATTAATGGTGGAGGAAGAAACCGAGAAATCCGCGGAAAGAACCATCGACCCACAAGAAGCTACTGGTAAGCTTTCTCACATATCTACATTCGCCGAATCTTAGACTCGAACCCACGCAGACAGAGGTGAGATGGCAGTGATCCGTAACGGAGAGCGCTTTAGACTACTCGGCCACTCGGGGCCCCGGTTGTAGTAGTAGTAGTAGTAGTAGTAGTAGTAGTAGTAGTAGTAGTAGTAGTAGTAGTAGTAGTATGAATATCTATATTTTTGTAAATCTTGGAGCATGATTTTATCATATTTTTGTGCATTTTATTCATGGCTTAGTGATTATCATTAGTTAGATTTTGCCTTCGCGAGAAAGGTCTGTTTGAAGAATATTAAGTGCGAAAAATTACATGGACTCGATAAATAAATGCTTACGTATGAATTGGCAATTACTAAGAACAATATTAATAATAAGACTTGTTGATGACCATGGGTGATTTTTTTTTTCATTGGCTGAATGGGTTTTGACAGTTCGAGAAGAATTAAGTTATTAATCATCAAATGGGATAGGTTACGTGAATGTGTATTTCGAAATATTTTTCAGTAGTATGGTCCCTCACGTGGTGATATGTTGTGAAATATAGTCATAAAAGAATATTTATACAATGAGAGAAATGAGCAATCAAATTTTATTCCTATTTTGGATTCAGTTTTTCTTCTTGTGTTCCTGTTGTAACATCTAGTCTGCGGACGTCTTTTATGTTGAATATGGATATAATCTGAGAGACAAAACATTTGATTGGACATGTTCAGTGGAAAATAAAAAGTTGTCATTGGACTATAATATTATTTTGGATCTCTTATAAATTATTCAGAGGAGTTCTGGATAACGGTATTTTGACAAAATCAAGATTCTTGGCGGACTAGTACATTTCTGGATTTGAAATTTATACTGAAATTCTCATTCTTGTGTACTTTTAAAGAACTAGCTTAGGAGTATTTGGATTCAGTGCATACTACTGTAAGTTCATCTCACATTTTCATTTATAACATTGATAATGAAATTGTCTAAATTTTACAAAACGTTTTGGTTTTGATTCTTTATATCGCTTATTTTATGACCAGAGAATCCTAACAATAGTAAAAGAAATTAAAAGTAATGGGAAGTTTCAAGACTGTCTTCCAACGATAAATTAGAATTAAAGGCAATGTTTTAATTTGCAAGGAGATATTGTGCAGAGAAAAATTAGATCACTTTCCAGCCTTCGACATGCAGAGGTATAAAGGGTGAATGGACCATTCTCAGAGATATTTTTAAAAATACATTAGTATTTAACACGAGAGAGAGAGAGAGAGAGAGAGAGAGAGAGAGAGAGAGAGAGAGAGAGAGAGAGAGAGAGAGAGAGAGAGAGAGAGAGAGAGAGAGAGAGAGGTGGGTCTATGAAAATTTACCTAAATAAATAAGTTATATTTGGCCGTCAAGGTCACGTCCAAGTAGTCGCATAAACAGGTAATCATTAAATCTGAAAGAAAAATAAAACATCAGCTAGGATCATGCTCCGTGTAAAGTCCTGAATCTAGCACTGAGGAACAAAAAGATTCATATATGTGCTGGGCAAAATTGTATCATCAATTAAATGTGGGACATGTATCCGTCAAATTGATAAATGATTGAACAGTAGTTGCAACTGATAGTCGATAAAATTACAATCTGATAATTTATCTGATTTGGAAGTATATATTCTAGTTCAGATTAATTAAAAAGTTATTATACAAATTAACTATATTTCTACAGAATATATCCTTAAAACGAGACCTACTCTAACATTTTTTTCAATTCAGATGAATTAAAAAGCTGATAGAGGAGCTGAACAGCGCCAATACTACATTTTGTAAAAAAGAGAGGACATATTGAAACCTCAATGTTAGAATTAGGAATGATCGAATTGTTCTAAACAATTATCTGTTTAATAATCATTCATTACAATCACCGAATTATGGTTTTGAGAAGGCAACTAAAGCTTCATCTGTGCATTATATGTCGTGCAACCGGTCTAATCTAGCGTCAATCGGAGAATGTAACATTGCTTTTGGGCATTTAAAATGGGGATGGATCAGCATGGGGCTGTGTGGAGATCTAACATGGATGGGTCGGTATGGGGAGGTTTGCGACCTTTGCAGATGTTTGAGAGTTAATCATGAATGGGTCGATATGAGGATGTGCAGGAGTTTACATTAGCTATTGGGTCGGTATGGAGATATATGGGAATGAAACATGGATGGGACGTTATAGTGATTATAGAAATTTAAGATTAGTATTTGGGAACAGTTCGAAGTTATGACAATTTAACATTACGGCTTTCAAATGACGTTTTTCGGAACTTAAAAGTAGCGATGTGAATGGTATTTGATTGGCATTTGGTTTAAAATTAGCTATGTGAATGGTATTTGAATGGTTTTTGATTTATGAGAATTTAACCTCACTGATGTCATTATAGAGTATCGGTGAATTTAATATTAGCTAT